TATGCGAATATTAATAATAAATAGAAAATATATTTTTTGGGCAAAAAATATTATCTAATAATTTACTATGTTAGAAACAAATGTGGAAAAAAAAAAAAAAGTTGCACGAAGCAGGTTTCGAACAGGTGATCTCTAATATTCCAGCCACTCGCCTCAGAATTTCTTTTCTGAATCAGAAACGCTTGCTTTTAACATGCAAGTAGCATGCATTTATCGTCTGTTGTGTCGGCTCGGTGGAAGGGAGCGTTCGCTCTCTTCCATTGGTTGAACGGCCGAGCTCACACGGATACGTGACGTAGCGCTTCTGTAAGGTTGTGTGAGGCAGCGGAGCCGGGACCGCTGTGGGAAATATCGCATCACTGCCTTGGATCCTACTCCCGAAAATTGAATTTTAGTTGGCTTAAATCGAGGCGATCCTATACTAACGTATTCGTCCGCACGCATGATCGAGATATCGCTTCCCGTATCGATAAGCGCCGCAATAATCTTATCATCTATCGTCACTTCCTTCGTATATTTCTTACGCGAGGAGTGTGTCACAGCGTAAGTGTTTCTTACTTCACCGCTTTTTCTCGGACACTTCGAGGCAATATGTCCGTGCTCGTCACAATTAAAACATTTCGCACCTAGTTCCCTCGTCGGACACGCCGCACTCACGTGATCTCGCATGCCACAATTGTAACACCGCCGCACATTCGTCGTCGTCTTCCCCGCTCCGAAGCTAGAATATCCCCTCCTATCGCTCCTCTCATCCCCACCAGTCCTCTCGCCTCGTCCAGCCGTCGCTGAGCCGCCGCCTCGCCTGTCCTGTCGGTTCGAGCCCACCGCGTGGCGATCTCGTAGAGTCACCTTTTCAAATGCTTCGAGTAAGGATTTCGTCGTGTCGAAACGTTGTATGCGCGCCTGGTCGCGCAATGCACTGTCTGGAATACCGTCTATGACGTAGTCCAACATTTCATCGTCGTCGATCGGTACGCGATTTCCCATGATTATTTTCTCATAAACGTACTCGTGAAAAGTTTCGGCCTTCCTCCATAGACGTCCCTCGAATCTTCTTCGCATCGTTACCCTGCTTTAGCGATGACGAAACATCCTCTTTAGCTCACCAATAAGCGCGTCAAACGTCATCTCAATGTACTCCGGTTTCGAGTGAAACCACTCAAGCGCTTTTTTTTCAGCTTCATTCCGATTAAAATTTTTGCAAAGTCATCTTCCAGTCTATACGTCGCTCTTATAAATTTAATTTGTTTTTCCCACGTGTCAAAATTACTAAAGGCACCGTCGAACTCACTCACTAAGTTTGCAATTGTCGTCAAATTCATTCGCATATTTACCGACGGTAATGCTATAGCGCCGCCGTTGCCATTATTTGCCGCGTGTGCCTGATGATCAGGCCCTAATCCACTATGCCCGCACGTTCGTTAGCACGTAACATCGCGATCTCGCGTCGAGCGAGTTCAAGTTCACGCTCGGCCAATTCTTTTTCACGTCGGTATAGTTCAATCGCTTGCTCGCATAGGCTATCTTCACGTCGCGAATTTTCCTCGTCGTCGTCGTTCATCCATCGACCTGAGGGATCATTTTCCACCAGACGAGCAATAAGCTCGGCTTTCGTTCCCGTTGTCGTCAGTTTACGCGCCTTCGCCTTCTCCTTTAATTCTAGCACCAAAAAGTCGTTTGGTTGAGGCATAATTATCGTATTTTCTAATCACCGAAGATCTCAACGTATTCACAGCGTTCTTGTTGCCTCGTGTATTGTTATTATTTTTTTCGTGTCCTTTTGCATCCTGGCGCTTTCTCTGCTCGTAGCTTCGTACGCCTTGCGATCGTCTTTATCATGCACACCGTTCTTATAATCGTCGTATATTCGTCCTTTCCGCGAAAAACGCTCGTACCTTTTATAATTGCTCGTCGCCCACGCACACTGAGTTTTTACGCCGTACTCAATGCTCGTCGTCGTTCGTCGTCTCTCAATATATTCGGCACGTCGTACTTCCGGTATCTCGCACAATCTCACCTCTGTTTCCCGATAAACTCGCAAATCTTTTTTCAAATCCCGGCTGAGCCCTCAAAATGTAAGGTGTTTTCACTAAGGAGCAGAGATTTTAAAAAATTGAGATATATTAATTATGCAGATACATTTAATAAACGCGTCTTTTCGGCTTGGTGATCTCCTTGACTCTGCCCGCTCGCTTGCCTACTCCCTCAGGCCTCAAAAACAAAAAAAGTTCCCCACGCATCGACATCCTCGCACGCTCGTTACATTATTTTTCAAATCATATGTTTTCCTATTTATTTCTTCCTACATTATGTTATTTAGTAAAATTTATATAAAATTTTAGATGGCTTGTTCTACGATAAGATATGGAATAGATGTTACAAGAGAATTGGGGATGGACATACAAAATATGGGAGCAAAGAGAACATGTCTAATGACCGATCCAAATTTGGTAAACTTAGCTCTTGTAAAAGTTGCTATTGACAGTCTCTCAAAACATGGCATTCAATTCGAGATTTACGATAAAGTACGCGTGGAACCAACTGAACAAAGTTTACAAGACTCGATCGAGTTTGCCAAGCGTGGAAATTTCAACGCGTTTATAGCGGTATGTATGCAAGAAATACAAATACATTAAGATACGATTACATCGATTAATTTTTATAGTTTTGATGTAAAAAATTATAAGCGTATGTATTTTATTGAATTAATAAAGAATTATTATTTAAAGCTGACGACGGATAAAAAATTGAAGAAAAATTATTTGTGCAATAAGCTTGCAAATTATAAATTTTAATGACTAGGTTGGCGGTGGTTCTGTGATGGACACTTGCAAAGCAGCAAATTTATACAGTTGTGACCCAAACGCCGAGTTTTAGACTATGTAAACGCACCGATCGGAAAAGGAAAACCGATTCAGATTCCTTTAAAACCCCTTGTCGCCGTTTCTACGACTTCCGGTACCGGTTCTGAAACAACTGGAGTATCTATTTTCGATTATCGGCCACTGAAGGCCAAAACGGGGATCGCGAACAGGTAATGCTCATTGTGTAATGTTAAATACAAAAACATACAAAATTAATTCGTTGACACTCTTATCTAGAGCTCTACGTCCAACATTGGGAATTATCGATCCTCAACACACCCTTAGTTTACCAGAAAGAGTATGCGCGTATTCTGGTTTCGATGTGCTCTGTCATGCTTTAGAATCTTTTACGGCGATACCCTACACAGAAAGGACCCCATGCCCACCAAATCCGATTTTGAGATAAGCTTATCAAGGTAGCAATCCTGTCAGCGATGTCTGGGCGCGATATGCTCTACAAGTTATGCGCAAGTAATAAACCACTCAATTATCTATGCAAAATATCCTAAATGTCAGCGTACTTATTTTAAACTATTAAATATTTGCAATTAAAGTGAAAAAACAATATTTATTTTCTCATTAAACTAAAAAAAATTATGTAACATCAAAAAAATAAAAATATCTTAGCAAATAAAAAATAATAAAAGTTGATTTTTTCATATAATTTTTTATCAATTTTAAATTAACATGCATTAAATTAACAGTAAGAAACTAAAAACTTTAAAAATATTAATTAAATAGTGAAAAAAATTGATTTTAACTTCGTTAAAAAAAGTACACATTTTTTAAAACATAAATCAATAAAAAATGTGTATCAATAAGGCTGAATTTTTTGCACAGATACTTTGAGCGAGCAGTTTACAATCAAGATGATTTGGAGGCAAGAAACCATATGCATTTAGCGAGTACAATGGCAGGCGTTGGTTTCGGAAACGCCGGTGTTCATCTTTGTCACGGACTTTCGTATCCTATCAGTGGAAACGTTAGAAATTTTCAACCAAAGGTACTTATATGGTTAAATTTGCATATAGTATTTTATAATGCATGAATATTATATATATTAACTCATACTCAAAATTAATTTAATTATTCCACTAAACTTGAACAAATTTATCCTATCTTCAACTAATGAAACTAATGAAAGCCTTCAATCAATAATCATATAGCGATATAATTATAAAGTGCATTTTCCATCTCTATCACTTATTATAAATATTTTTTAAACCAAGTTTTAATCATCCTATAATGTATAAAAAATTGGATATTTAAAAATTCTTTATATTTTCTTATCTAAATCAATGATTTTTATCTGAATTGTTATATTTCGTCTTATTTAAGAGTTACAGCAATGATCACCCTATAGTTCCTCACGGCTTATCCGTGGTGATTTCCGCCCCAGCCGTGTTTTCTTTTACGGGAAACGCATGTCCAGAGAGACATCTGGAAGCTGCGGAACTGCTTGGTGCGAACGTTACGAATGCTAAGCGGGCTGACGCCGGCCAAATTTTGGCCGACAAGGTTAAAGAATACATGCGCCTTATGAAAATCGAGAACGGTTTATCAGAGCTCGGATTTAAGAAAGAAGATATTCCTACTCTAGTTCAAGGAACATTGCCTCAGGTAAATGACACTCAACATCCCATACTGTTTATTAAATGGAAAAATGTAATAACATCAGTTATAATTAGTAGGGAGCGGATGTTCGTGCACGATCCCGTATCGCGCGCAGAGAACCGCTGCGTGCGAGTGAGTCGAGTACTCGCTGAGGTAGCATTTCTCGAGAAAACCCGATTGTCAATTCATCTGAATTCAATATATCTATCGTGTATAATGTGTATACTCGATTCACTCGCACGCAGCGGTTTTCTGCGCGCGATACGGGATCGTGCACGAACATCCGCTCCCTAGTTATAATAATTAATTTGATATATTCTCTGTTTTTATTTTTTTAGCATCGCATCACAAAACTGGCACCTCGCGAACAATCTGAAGAGGACCTCGCACACTTATTCGAAAATTTATTTACAATCTACTAATAATGAAGTTAATATTTTAATAATTGTAATATAAATATATCAGAAATATATATAAATATATACAGGGTGATTCAAAATAACTTGGTGTCCTTGCAATGCCATATTCTTGAGCAAATTCTGAGACAATTTTTCCTTTTACAAAATTTTGTCCAAAGCTTAGTTTTCGAGTTATAATTGAAAATAGATAGCAGCTTACGAATTCGGTACAACGGGCATGCAGGGACGCGCAACGTGTAATGAGACTGTCAAGTGTTTACTATCGTCTCATGACACATTACACCGTCCCTGTCTGTCCGTTGTATCGGACTCATAAGTAGCAAACTATTTTCAATTATAACTCGAAAACTAAACTTCGGACAAAATTTTGTAAAAGGAAAAATCGTCTCAGAATTCGCTCAAGAATATGGCATTGCAAGGACATCAGGTTATTTTGAATCACCCTGTATTTATATATATACAGGGTGTCCCGTAAAGACCGTAACAACGCTTAGGGATATATTTCTGAGATAATTCTGAGCAAAAAATCTTAATACCAAAATACTCAGGGTGTAATGGTTTTTGAATTAGAAGCATTTAAAGTTAACGAATAAGATAGCCTGAAATTTGCGCGCTCAGGTGTGTACAACGTACAGTGATAAACGCGAAATTGACTATCGCTCCTCTGTTGTCAGTATTAATATTTGGAAAATAAATTTGCTAATACATATTAACATAAATATTGTTTACGCAATTCAGATTTTGTTGAAAATATTATAAAGAAAAAAATATTATAATACACAAAACGCGAACTGTCAAAAACATTATATTACATTTCTTTGATATTTCTTTTTATCTTACAGATATTTGTACAGAATATTGTGATATGTTACTCATTATTTGTACAGAATATTGTGATATGTTACTCATTTATGGTAAAATAAAGAAAAAGTGATACTAATGTAAAAGAAAATCCTACAATGAGTATTCGTGAAATTAGTCGTCAAGTTGGAATGTCAAAAACAATGGTTCATAAAATATTAAAAGAAAATGAAATGCATGCGTTTCATTACTTAAAGGTACAACATTTATTACCTCAAAATTATGCGCAAAGAGTCTTTACATATTCAATATTATTTAATTATTTTTAACTGTTATTAAAATAAAATATTGTGAAATTCTGTATTCTCTATTATTTTAATTATACTATTCAATTCTACTATTTCAATTATTTAATAATTTTATTGTACAAATATCTATAAGATAAAAAGAAATGTCAAAGAAATGTAATTTTTGACAGTTTGCGTTTTGTGTATCATAATATTTTTTTCTATATAATATTTTCAACAAAATCTTAATTGCGTAAACAATATTTATGTTAATATGTACATTAGCAAATTTATTTTCCAAATATTAATACTGACAACAGGGGAGCGATAGTTAATTTCGCGTTTATCACTGTACGTTGTACACACCTGAGCGCGCAAATTTCAGGCTATCTTATTCGCTAACTTTAAATGCTTCTAATTCAAAAACCATTACACCCTGAGTATTTTGGTATTTAGATTTTTTGCTCAGAATTATCTCAGAAATATACCCTTAAGCGTTGTTATGGTCTTTATGGGACACCCTGTATATATACCAGAAGATTATAATAAATAAAGATTATTTTTTTATGACAAAAATTATTTAGTTCAAATTTTCCGAAAATTTAAAACTAATGTATAAATACTGATATATCTCTATATTTATAATAACTAGAACAATACAGGCGCGCGCACTTATTATGATAATTTAATAATTATGAAATCTAAATATTTTAATAAAATTTTTTATATTTTAAGTAATCGTCAAAATAACCTTTGCTCTCAAATTATCAAACTGTCAGAATAATCGCGATAACCAATCAGCGTCGTGAAAAAGCGTCAATACTTTCGAAACATTCGAGTATCGATCTTTCATGCCTTTTTTAAGAGCGGACTAGAAGAATACAAGCGCGCGCTACGCGCGCGCAGTTGTTATGGTACTTTAATAATTATAAAATCTAAATATTTGAATTAAGTAAATATTTATTAAATTTTACACTGAGAAAAATGGTTTTATTATATTAACAAAATTCTTCTGGTTGACCGTATTTTAGTCGAACGAAACAGAATTTCTGGTTATCGTCACAAAATTTTACACCTTATATCAACACCGTTTGGTTAACTTTACTATAAGGATTTGAATAAGTGTTTTCTTGTTGGATCTACAAAACTTCTTGTTATATTTACATAAATCGCAGCGCTCTGCAACAGTTTCGTTATTACTCACTAAACGGTTGATCAACTGTTCGCCGCATTCATTTGTTACACTGCACAGTGGGCCAGGATACCAGAAAAACTGGCCAAAAGTCACTTACGGCATTAAAAGAAAAAGTGTATGCCATCATCATTGAGACATGGTAATATACATGTGAGACCATTTTTATGCGTATTAATCAATTATTGTTTCGTTGGTGCAAGTCCGAACTTAGAAATATGAATATCATACCAGTAGTAGCGATTACTTCGTTTGTGTTAGTTAACAGTTTAAAATATTTTTATAAGTATTTCTAATGTCTGTATAGAAACATTAAGACAACAGAAGACTTAAAAAGTTAAAAAATATACTCAAATTTTATAAAATAAGATGCTTAAGAGTCGTGAATTTTTATATTTTTCATGATGTCGACTTCTGTGATTCAATGTTCCAAAATGTTCCGCGGCCAATCGAAATTTTTTCATGTTATTCAATAATTTATATTGTTGCACTTTCAAGAAAAATCTAGCACATTTTTGCTCGAATTCATACTCTATGGAGAAAATCGCATTTAAAGCCGCGCGCAGTGCTTCACAGCGCGGCGCGGCGCGATCGCTCGTCTTGTATCAGTATAAAAGTGTGTGTGTGTGTGTGGGTGGATGTGAATGCGTGCGTGCGTATGTGTGTCATTCTGGATTAAGAAAAACCTTAAAAGAAAAATAGAAAAATATGAAACTTAAAACTAAAAAGTAGAAATTAGAACAAACCGTTAAAAGCTAATTTAAATACAATAATTATGAGAAACGCTTAATTAATTAATATAGAATACAAAATAAAATTTAAAAAATAAAATACAAACTGGCAATAGCTCTGGAATGGCGATGAAATGCAAAATAACTGCTGTGCTGGAGACGAACATAATTCTAAAGAAAATAGTAGATTTGCAATTGATTGGTGCAAAGGTGGTCATATTATATTAATATAAGATTATAATTTTATTGACAATTATTAAGACTGTTACGTTCTCGCCGTTTTGATTTTGTCGCCCGATGATATTCGTCAGCTGACGAACTGATTGATAATATTGATCGGCATTCTGACAACTGAAGATCTGGTTGCGTAAATAAGATCGGATATTATTTTCATGTCTCTATGACGGACGATACGTTGTTATTGATAAATATTGGCAGTCAGATTTGGGATTGCTATCAAGCTATTCAGACGTATTTGTAACTTTAATAATATTGTGTATCCTAATTTCTATATTCTGCGTTTCGTTTCATAAATTAGTTAAGTGTTTCTCATTTATTATTTATTAAATAGCTTTTAAGGGTTTGATTTAGTTTCCAGTTTATATTTAAAAGAATTTTGATATTAAGATTACGCTTTGCATTAATCGAAACGATGCATTTCACGAAACGTGAAATTCTTAAAGTACTAGAAGAAAATAAAGAACAAGGATTGGATGCAGTCAGAGATTATATTTTCTTAAAACTAAATGTAAATATCACAGATGTCAGTGATGATGCACTGAAACGTTTACGAGTTGCACTAGCCTCTCTAAAAGCGAAAAATAATACAAGATTTAATGCTGCTCATAGAATCAGAAATAGATATGAATCAAACAATTCAGGATGGTTGGATTCCAAATTTGAAATTCCCAATTTACAAACTACTGATCTTAGATTTAAAAATAAGACTACTAATATGGGTCGCCCAACTCTCGCTTTCGATAAAAAATCAAATAGATCCAAAAGACGCGAAGCGGCAGAGATCAGTGTCCAACATGATCATAATGTTGAAAAACTTATAATGGCGGGTCGTCATGCTGCAAGACATTCGGGCGATAATGATTTGCATTATGTTCTAACCAATTTATCGAGTACAGAACAGTCAGAAAAAATGCGAAAGTTAATAACTACAAAAACAAATCAAATACAAGAAAAAAACCCCCGAAGAAGCATTAAATTTTATTTTAGACAACAATGTGTCTAAAAAACTGTATATAAACATGCGCTTAGAGACACTTGCATCTGGAGCAGACATATGGCCGTCTTATAACGAAGTCAGAATGGCAAAATCAAAATTAAGGCCATCACAAGAATTGATGACAATTTCCGAAACGTCTGCTTCAGTTCCACTCCAACCACTTATTAACCATACTGCGAAGAGACTTATTGATCTACAAGCTCCAGTAATTCTTCAACATGTTAGAAAAAATAAGTTAACAAACATAGACATAGTCCTTATGTGTTCTTGGGGGTTCGATGGCAGTAGTGGACATTCGGAATATAAACAATCTTATGCAGATAAATCGCAAGAAAATGTAAGCGATGAAAGTTTATTTGCAACGACACTAATTCCATTGCAGTTATCAATAGATAAAAACGTCATTTTATGGTTTAACCAAACTTCTCAGTCTTCGAGATTTTGTCGACCGATTCATCTTGAGTACGTCAAGGAGTCACGAGACATTATTTTAAAACAAAAGCAAAATATTGATGACCAAATTAATCGATTGCAAACCTTTGAACTTAGTTTAGAAGAGTGCCATATTCGTATAAATTTTTCATTACATATGACATTAATAGATGGCAAGGTTTTAAATATTATTACTAATACAAAATCTATGCAAACTTGCCCTATTTGCCATGCAACTCCAAACAATTTAATGATCTTTCAAATATAAATTCTCCTAAATTTTCACCGGAAGCAAACTCATTGCAGTATGGAATTAGTCCACT